CCTGTACTTTGTCAGGGTCTGTTTCTCTTTGCTGTTATTTAGCTTGGTTAGATATTTGGCTAGTGTGTATTGTCTGTTTAGGGTTCTGTAGTATTCCAGTTTGTTGTGTTTGTGTGTGTGTGTGTCCCAGTGTGTGAGATGTTGCTGTTTGGTCTGCGCTGTGATGTGGTTAATTCTAGCAGTGCTGTTCTGAGGCTGGCTGGTGTAGGTGTGGCTCAGGTCAGTGAGCCTCAGGACCACCGGGCTCAGGGGGCTCTGTTTTGGGCTCAGCTCTTGACTCAGCAGGGCTTTGTGGTGGTAGGAGTTTTGGTCGGTGTTTTTTAGGTGTAGCCAATACTTTAATATTCTTTTCTGTATGTTTATCAATAGTGGGTACTGGCCTAATTCGGCCCTGCACCCGTTGTTAGGAGTTTTTCTCTGCACATGGAGGATGTTTCTACAGATCTCCATGTGCAGCGTTTCTGTGGGGTGTTTGTCCTGTTGAGTGTAAACCTTGTCTGTGAGGGGACCCCACACTTCACTGCCGTACAGGGCGATGGGTTGGATTACACTTTCAAATATTTGGAGCCAGATTCTTGATGGTGGGTTGATGTTGAAAAGCCTCCTTCTTATTGCGTAGAAAGCCCTGAGTGCCTTCTCTCCTCTCTCTCTCCCCCTCTCTGTGTGTTTGTATACTCCCTGCCTGTCTTGTCATTTCCTGTGAAGGTCGTGGGAGTGACACGGACTGTTCCATTTCCCTCGAGATCTGGGGGGTTGTTTTCTTTTCTGAGACCCTGCTGTCACTATTAACCACCGTGGTGGGGGACAGGGCACTGCGGGCTGGCATCGTGAGCCCAGAGATAGCCCTGCAACAGCGCCCCTGTGTGGCGAGGCGAGGTGTCTGTGAGCTGGCAGTGCAGTCACTGAGAGCAGCTGTGCTCTTCCTGTCCTGATGAGAGCGCTGTGGCACTCACTGTGACTGGTGTGTGTCTGGTTGTACCACAGTGAAATGAGTTTGATTTCAACTCCACATTTCGAGAACGTGAATGTGATTCCAAGATGCTAAACAAGGGAGATATAACAGGACAGTGCCAGTACAGGACTTTTCACAAGCTGTACACACTATACTGCCTGTTCTGGAGACGTCTAGTCACCTTTGATTAAGCTATCAAACTCTCGCCAAGTAAAAGCCCACCCTAATGTAGAGAGCAGTGGCCACACGCTGCCGGTGAGGATGGACTGTGCGCCGCTGCCCTCTGGTGGTGGTTTGTGGTACTGCGCCAGTGTGCGTCGGTCACTTGTGCATGGAAAGACCCGAATATCACTACAGCGCCTGTGGCGAATGTGTTTCTGTTTGTCTCTCTCAGTGCAGTATTAATGGCCTGTAGGGTCCAGTCAATATGTGAATATTTATTTATCCTTCTTTTCCTTTTTGCAGGTTCTGAAAATTCAAATTCCTGTGCATATAGCCTATGAACTGGGTGAGTACCCCCAATTGCAAATCAACTGAATTAGTGATTAACCAATTAAGTGATTAGGGACTGCAATTTATGGAGCTCCTTCATCTTTGTAAACTGTGTAGATTAAACCAGTGGTAGAGGGATGAAAGCTATTACAGATCTCATTCAACCTGAAGATCTGAGAGCAAATTTAGAATTTAACCCCAAAATAACAATTCAAATCCATGAGCCTGTGATCATGAACCTGGAGCACAAACCACAACGCAGCATTCCTCTGGGAGCAGGAGTCACTGGGATCGAGACTCACGGGTT